GGCCGTGATTGGGACTGGTGCCTCATGTCCAAGATGTCATTCGGAGGATTAAGGTGTGCTTGACCAAGCCAGGGTCTTTTCCATCGCCTCATATGAATGGAAACCTGGACAATGAATAAGGAAGACCAAAGAACAAACGATGCTTTTGAACTAGGAGAGCATCACAGAATATTGAAATTCAAGGTTTGCCAGAACTAAACCAAGGGTCTTGGAAGAAATACAGCCAGGACGCTTCTTGGAAGCAAGGATGAAGGGCACCCTGCTATGCGGAGCAGGCCAGTGAAAAGAATCTCCCTAAGGAGCGGGTATGACACAGTGGCTATCAACCAGGGGCTCATGTGTGGCCACAGCCATGAGACTATTGTAGGTCAGAGCAGTGTTTCATTCCATCCTACATCTGGTTACTATGTGTCAGAATCCACTGGACGCTGTCTAATAACAGCGATCTTTTAGCTACTCTGTCAGCAGCCTGGGTGGGTTCGAACCACCACACTTTCATGATCAGTTAGACACTTAACCAGGGCTGTGACAACAGGGCTTCTTTTCATGCTCTTACAGTTGTTCTCAAGTGTGCCCTTTTAAGCTACGAGTACCCCCACAGCAAAACTTGCCAGTCTCCTCTTTGCATCCAGAAACTCTTAGCCCATAATCATGCATAGGGCTTAAACATCTAAATACGACTGTCCCTCCCCATCATTAGCAGAGAGGCTGCTGACATCTTGGAAATCTGCATCCTTTCCAAAAGCAAGGCTAAGCCCAGGATACAGAGCTAGGGTTCCTGCCTCTGTGCTCGGGAAAGCGCCTCCTGCAGGGGCTGAGCGAGCCGGAACACATGGTTTTATTTTTCAGCATCTTCGCGGGCCAGGTCTTTGTAAGGCTGTCCACTGGTCCTTCTCCCCATCTTCCTCCTTTGTGCTCTGTCGCTTTGTCTCTGGTTGTCTCACTGACTGCAGTCCTTTGTTCCTCTGCCCGGGCTCGGGTTCTCTCCCTCCCGGTTCCCTGCCTGCTTTTCCTATTGCTTCCAGGGCTCGATCTCCATCTCGTAGCTACGTCTCAGGGTCCTGGGTGTTCGATCTTTTGTTTTTTTCTTTGAAAAACAGGCGGCCGCTGTTCCTCGCGCCCTCGTGTGCAAGGCTGACCTTAGGTGGACTTGGTCCGGGTGTCTGGCTCAGGCTGGATTCCGAGCCCCGGCTCTCGGCCGGCTTTCACCTCCCGCCCCCCCTGTCCAGTCCCGGTCCCCCACCCGGTGTCCCCACCGCGGGCCGTCCGTCCCCCAGACTCCGGCCTCACC